GCTTCAGAAGTTTAAACAAGGGTGTGAATTCAATGACTCATGACTGGCATTTCATAGCCTTTCCAGTAATGCATTTATTTTCTGTTCATTCCTGTTTGTTTGTTTATTAGTGACAAGCTATTACAATATGTATATTATCATATCAATTGCATGAAAGTGGCCATAGCTAAGTCCAGTGAACAGGCGCAGTACATGCATTAATTTATCATGTCAAGCTGCTGTGAGTGAGCATATGCCTGAAGATGTTTGGATCATTCTGCCTTGATCAACACACCCCAAAGAGGCCCTTGTAATTTATAAATACTACGTTAATTTTGGTTTGGATGCCAACTTTTCCATTCATGGAGTGTCACTAAGAGGTCAGGCCAGGGACTAACTTGTTTTTATTAGCACAGATGTCAGCGTCTTTCTTCCATTAACAATTGTACAGGCACAGTTACTATAATAAGCCTCAAATTAGTTGCTGACAAGGCCAAGAGATGCTGTAAATAACACAAATCCAGTTAGTTCAATTTAACTGTGTGCCTATGAACAATTTAGCATTTGCTGCGGACTTCGAATAAGTTTCAGTCTGTTAGAAACAGTCAAAGAGAGCTACCATTATCCAATGCTCAAACAGTTATTAATTAAAAAGTATGTTTAGTTGCTGATACACTACCAAGAGATAAGGCAAAGTACATTTGTTCAGTTGCATAATATTTCCATTTACAAATCAGTGGGTGCACTCTCTGGTATTACTCACACCGTGTGAATGTAGCCATCTTCATGGGGACCAGCCCATGTTATTAAAAAAAAGTTTTAGAATAGCGACCAGGTTTAATGTTAGTCTTTGGTATGTACTCCTTATGGTTAAAGTTAGTGCAAGTCTCCAGGAAATCAATGTAAGACAATGCAATGCCCCACTGAATGGTAAATGGTCTTATACTTGTATAGCGCTTTTCTACGCTTTTACACTACTCGGCCATTCACCCATTCATGCACTGGTGACATCACTGGGAGAAAATGGGGGTTCAGTATCTTGCTCAAGGACACCTCGACATGTTGACTGGACAAGCCGGGAATTGAACCACTAATCCTCCGGTTAGGAAATGACCCGCTCTACCTCCTGAGCCACAGCCGCCCCCCTGAGAAAAGTGTTCACACATATTTCTTCACATTAAAGTGGAAGCTAAACAGGTGAGAGAAATTGCCAAACAAGATTCTCTTTTATTAATTTGAGAAATAGTTCATAAAGCCTTCAACAGTGATGTCACTAAGGCTTTACAGCAAGGTGGAAGTGACATCATTGGCAGGTAAGTGACATCCTCAATAAATATCTGTTATGAATGTTTACTTTATTTTGTGCTTTAGTTTTCATAGCCAGGAGACAGTGACGTTATGGCAGGCAGACATATCTCTGTTACCTAGGGTTGTTCCACATCAGTCATTGCCAAATCTCTTGATGGCTACTGTCTCTCTTCATGAAACAGAACAAAGCTAGGAGTTTTCTTAAAAACAGAGCGCTCACCTCTAGCACAGATACATGCAAAGTAGAATTTGATCTAAGGTGCTGTTGGCACCATGGAAGCATTGTGAAAGCACCTTCCCTTCTACCTTCAAAAGCCTCATGGGAGAAAAGTTTTGACTTCTGCTTACTTTGCTCAGAGAAGTCTGCATTAGACTTTTGAGGAGACTTTATTACCTCTCTAGTTAGACTCCAGTCAGCTCAGACACAGCAGTGCATACCTAATCTGCTCAATCTTTCGTTTTTTATCTTTCTCAGGATATTTCTTTTTTCCCTGCTGCCTCACCTGCTCAGTGTTTTACTCCTGCAGCTCCTTTGCTTTCTACTTACGCTTTTCTCTTGTGCTGTGCTTGTGGTTTTCTGTTTGACATTCAAACAGTATACCACCGCACCACTGCCTTGCTGTTACACAGGAATGCTATTTTCAGTTTTAACATGTCAGCAGAAAGATGTTAAAACCATAAATCCCAATGATTTGAATATGGATTCAAGGCTAAAAAGACAGATCACAGTAATAACAGCAGCAGGGATAAGCCAAAGCAGATACATCCTAACCCAACTCTACTCCCTATTATCTGTGTGTTTAAAAGCAAACTGAAGCTGAGGTATAGGGTTTTCCTCAGGATAAATGGATTTCAAGGCAAGATCTTTCCTCAGCAAATCATTGTAGAATTTATTGTTATAAGTATATTCAGCAATAGTGAAATTCATTTCCGCTGTCAAATGTGGGGAGGGTTACCCATGAAAGGGCATGCAAAGGAGGTAAAGGCAAAGGGTAGAGATTGGTAAGGATAGACAAGCGATGGGAAAGTACACACTGTACCTGTCCTCACAACTACTCACACTTGGAGGCATCTGCTCACTCACTCACTCTCCTGCACCCTTGTGCCCTCTCTCTTTCTCCTTTGTTTCTCACAAGCCCTTTCTCTTTATAGAAACCTCACACTCACAACAGGGGGACTATTTGTTTCTTTGAGTGGATTTGCTTCTCTCAGTGGGCATCCGAGAGAATGCGAACCCAAATGACGGAATGACTACACACTTGAGCACACGCTCTCCCAGAAAACACATTTACAGACAAGTAGCAACCAATAAATAGACTGGGTGGACCAGGGTGTTCCCTGGTTTAAAGTTAACTGGGATATTGTGGTTGCAAAATATCCTTTTTAACTTCTCTGATAAACCAGCCACATAAGGGATGACAGTGT